TTTAGATCTAGTTACAACCTGTCCCTCTCCTCCAGTGTGCCCACTTCTCCCCACATTTTAGTGCCATCCACAAATTTGAACAAGGTGCTTTTTACCCCCTTGTCCAAGTCGCTGATGAAGATGTTGAACAGTGCGGGCCGAGGACCAAACCCTGGGGGACCCCACTGCCCACATCCCTCCAAGTCAAAAATGACCCATCCAATACCACTCTGGGTGCGACTCCTCAGCCAATTTGTGACCCATCTGACTGTGTAGGCATCGACACCACAGTCACCTAATTTCTTACTGAGAATGGGGTGAGACAGTGTCGAAGGCCTTCCTAAAGTCCAGAAAGACTACATCCACCCCGACACCTGCGTCCAAGGATTTTGTGACCTGGTCATAGAAGGCCACCAGGTTGGTCTGACAAGACGTGCCCCTAATGAACCCATGTTGGCTGCCCTTAAGCATGATCTCCCCTGCTTGTCCCTCACAGATGTGCTCCTGGATAATTTTCTCGAAGAGCTTCCCCAGGACTGAGGTAAGACTAACGGGCCTGTAGTTTCCTGGTTCCTCCTTCCTCCCTTTTTTGAAGATGGGAACCACACTGGCCCTTTTCCAGTCCTCCAGCACCTCGCTAGAGCACCACAAGTGCTCATAAAGCCGTGCCAGGGGTCCTGCAATGACCTCAGCTAATTCCCTCAGCACTCTGGGGTGGAAATTGTCAGGACCTGGTCAGGACCAGATCGTCAGGACCAGGTACAGAAGGAAGAGTTGCTTGGGGCTGGTCTCTCTTGCCTAAGGGGAGGTGGGCATTTTGTCCCACTCAGCCTGTGCCGCAGACTCCACAGTGGAGGGACTGAGCCCCAAGGCTGTGCTGCACTTGCCAGGAATGAAAGCCAGCAGGCCATGGCAGGCATGCCTAGCACCAAGGGCCCAGGGCTACCCAGGACACCAGGGTCTCTCCTGCTTACAAGACCCATGGGGAAAGATGCCAACTGTGCAAGTCAGCTTCTCTCCCACTGCCAAGAGAAGGCCTGTTAGGAGAGGGGGGCAGGTCTTGGACTGGTTTTGATGAAGGACATTCAGCGCTTGTTATTGCAGGACTGGTTAGGGCCTCATTTATTTAACATCCTCAATTCTTTTTTAGGGTCCTGCTCCCATCCTGGAGGGGATAACCTGTTGTTTATCTTTGTGCTGGTCTTTGAGGCACCATACTGGAGACCTTTATGATCCCAGAGCATCCAGGGCTGCTTATCAGTTTATACACTTGACCACTGGGCTGAACAGGAGTCATCAAACCCCTGAGGGCAACCTGTACAGCGCTCCCCCATCACCGTGCAGAGGGCCACATGTAGATTCCTCCCAGCAATGCCCTTCAGATTCTAACTATATATATACAAAATAGAAGACCTGCTCCAGAGCCAGATACCTGGTCCACTGCCTCCTACAGCAACTGCCACACCAAAATCTAATGGAAGATGTATCCATTCATGGGATCAATGTTCTCAGCATGCCTTCTCCCTCTCTCTCCTGCCCCTCTTTCTCCCTGTACCCCCCATACCTCATTGGTATGCACCTCCAAGCAGGCAGAGTGTAGACATGAAGACGAATGTTGTCCTCTGAAGATACTTACTGCTTTCTACACTGTCTCACATGGAAAGAGCAGTTGGGGAAGGTGGAATGGTTGCAGATATTAACACTGTTGCATTCAGTTTGCAACAGTCCCCTAAGGAAGTTGGGAGTTCACCGATATTCTGGCCTTTATGCGGGAGGAGTGATTGGAAAACTCTCTCTGTGCAGTCACTCCTAGGGTAAGGCACTGTAGAGGTGCTCAGAAAACAGGGTGCCATGCCATGGAGAATTTAAACAAAAGGTCATTTTATTCATTTCCATCAGAACTTTTTGTGGGATTTTCTGATTTTTCAGCAAAATATTCTAGTGTCCCCCTCTGTTCCAACAAAAAAAATTATGCGTCTTCCCCTCTCTGTGAGAGGTCGGACAACCCCAAAGGAGTCTCTGGATGTGGGCGGATGTCATGGGGGGTGCACTCCAGCCAAACAGGATGGCCTGGAGAGAAGATGAGGAGCACAGAGACCTGAGGTATAGCACCTACAAGGCATTGTGATACCATCTGGTATTAATGCATAATCAGTACACAGTGTCAAGGGGCTGCAGGTGAAGTGAGTGGCAAGGCAAGTTTTGAATGAGGACAATGTGGTGTCTATATGAAGTTTTACTAGGATCTCCTTGTCTGGGAGTGGAGGAATAAAGGTAGTGGAGGGAAAATGGGACCAGCAGATGGCAAGTCCTGGTACTACTAACAGGCCAAAGCCCTGGTGGGGAACACAAACCTCGGTAACAGGTTATACCTCAGTAACAGGTAGTGCTGTAACCAGGGTCTGAATTATGGGGGAGCTTGTGGAGGCTGAGGCCCCCCCATAAGAGACAAGAGCCCCCCTGTAAGATATGAAAATCACAACCCGGGGGGGGTGTCGGTCACTTAGGTGGACTTGTTAATCAGTGAACTGGTTTAACTTAGTGTTAAACCCCCCCAACACCCCCACAAGAGTCAAAGTATAATTTGAACCCTTACTGTAATGTTTACTTCAGTAACAAGCTTGTTTGGCTTCACTACTGTTAAAAAATCAGACATCCTGTTTTGAAGAAAGCTTGCTTTAATCAAGAGGTGGCAGGAGTGTTGGCCATAGTGTAAGGCACAAAGTTGCTCCTAAGGCCTGAATGCTGCTGCTGTTTGCAAAGCATGGTAATGCAAGACCCACAGTTTGATGAACAGTTTCAGAGAGCAGGCTGATTTGCTAACATCATAATACACAAATATATCACACACATACCATTAACGTGGCGTTAAAGATTTTCCCGCCATACATTTTCAGGTCTCCAAGTATTTGCAGGTAGCACAGACGCACCTGTACAGCTGAGAGGACGTGCTTGGGTTTCCAAGAAAAAAAATATTGTTGAGAAAGTGACAAATGAGTCAGTGTAACAGGTCAGGTACGTCAGCAAAGGGGTTTCCATATTATTTTGTCAAAATCGAGGTGCATACAAGGCACAGGACTAGAAGGATTTGAGAGGAAACACAGAAAAACTACTTTTGACCTGATGGAAGAAGCAAGATTGGCTGAGCAATGTTGTTTACTGCGTGAATGCATAGCTGAGTGAGACATCAGACACGGTTTGGGCTGCAAAATGCACAAACGTGTTTTGTACCTGAGAACTTTCCTAACACCTCTCACACTGGTCCAATAAAATGTATTAGCCAACCCGTTGCTTCTTGCATACTCCCTGGACCATCATGGCTTCACCAACATTTATGACCCGATATCTACCTTCTGTTCCACCAATCAACAGGCAGACAGACAAAAAACAAAGGGAAATCATAGCAGGCAGTGATTTTCTTCCATTGCAAACTGTGGAAGGGGCCCTGGATCAGTACATCACTGGTTATGGTTTGCTCTGCCTTGCTTGAAAGGAACAAGCTCTGATTTCTCTCCTCTTTGGGAAGGGACTGGTATATGCCTGCAGAAACAGCACACAGAGAATGCTAAAGGCAGGGAAAATATCTGCAACAAAGGGGAGGAGAGTGTGAGAGGAGGAAAATAAGAGTCTCCCTCAAATGTAACTGCCATGGTGCTAGGACTTTGTGGGCACTTCTACATGTGAATATTAATACAATGCAACAAACTGCACTCTGTGCATTGCACTCTGGTGTAGTGTTTACACATGCACTTGGGACCACAGCACACTGAGTTGGGGCAGTGGAGCCCCAGCTGGCAGGGGGCCCCCTGGGTCAGCCTGCCAGCTTGGGGCTGCTCTGACCCAGCTCAACGTCCAGTGGAGGGGCTGGCTGGGGCAGGAAAGTGCTTCAGTGCGGGGCTAGCTGGCAGGCAACCCCTGCACTGAAACACCCTTGTGCCCCAGCCAGCCCCATCAGCTTCTACACGTGCACTGTGGTGGAGTAAGTAACTCCACCATAGGATAGTATAGTATTTGCATCTAGCAGTAGTAAGCTATGATGGAGTTCATTAGTTTACTCTGGCCTAATAGCTCCATATGTCTAGACTGGTGATGCTTTACTGCGGAGCTAATTAGGCAACTGCAGCAAGTGTCTTGTGTAGATGTTCCCTGCATGGAGGAAGCTGGGGTAACATGCAAGGAACCATGCTTGCACACTCTTGGCTCCCTGAAATGGGGATGGCTGGCTTTCTGCATGCTATCCTGCACACATGCAGTACAAAGGCTTTACCTTTTGTCTTGGATCCAGCAAGATTTGGTTCCTCTTCATGTGAAAGCTAATTGCTTTCTTGATGTCTTTGCCTCTCATGTTGCGGAGTAGAGTTGGAGATATGAAGTTTTCTATTCCCCAGTCCTTCCTGCCATAAAGACAGAGAAGGGTGTTATTGCTTAAATCTGTACTCTGGATTGAAGCCACAGCTCCTGGGTAAGGGTCTTGGGTTTGTGCCACACAAGGAGAAAGACTAGAGCATCCCAATGGTCTCTTCTGCCATTCTTAAAAGCACTTTGCTTTGCTTAAAGGCTTGTTACATTTTAGCATCTTTTGCATTAATTCTTCTTACAAGTTTAAAATTATAAATGAAAAATTCCAAGGGAGACTACATTTATCACAGTGCTTATCACTTACTTATGAAGCACACAGTGAGGTCTTAAGTTGTTGCTTCTGTCCAGTCATATATTGCATGCATTTTGGTGTGTTTGACTACAAGCAGTGTTCCAGTGCCAGGGAGTGACACATGCCAGTCACACAGGTTAGCTGGGTTCTAACAACAGCTATGCATGTCTTAAGATACCAGTGTATGGGCTATTATTCAACAATCAATCTTTTATCAATTTTCACTGATCAAGCTGGTTCTTTGGAATGACCCATACTGTACTAGCAACAAGGTGCTACAGACTTTATCTGTCTAGGGAAAGCAATGGCTCTATCTGCCATGACCATGCAGGTGTTATAAATTATACAGAATTACATTTCTGAGCCATGTAACAACTCTGGCTGGCTGAGTGATGTAATGCCCTAGACCTACATGGCGATGATTGTTCTTTCTTAAAAGCTCCTTCATGCAAAATCCTGTATTCTGGCTAGAGTAGCAAGTCTGAGCACTGGCATCTGCATAATCACCACACAGTCATTTGTCAATAACTGTACAACGATGTTTCTGACTGGCTCCTACATGCATGTCTGTATGATGCAAGGCCAAGGTGGAGATACACCATGCCTGGTTTTGGTCTGCTTGCTCCAAGACCAAATTAGTGTAGCTGCACAGTGTTGCACACGTGCTCAGAAACACTGCACTGACATAACTATACTCCTTCAGCTGTGGGAGCAAGGCATAGCACTACTCTGTGCCATACAGATATATCCTATGAATCTGTTGCTCCACTTGGCTACTGAGCTCAGGCTTCTCACTAGGTGTATCTGTAACAGGCAGGCTATAAACAGGCTTTAATTTTTTTTTCAAAACCCCACTGCTATCTGAGCAGTTTGGAAGGGAGATTAAGAGCAATGGGTGATTTATGGCCACCTCAAATACTTACTCAGCTACCCCTAAACGGATCAGCATAACCAACAGACTTGGGGAAGAGACTGTCCCTACTCTGTGATTGGACAGTGCTTAGCACCATTACAAGCTTATTTCTGGGCACCCCTTATGTACTACCAGAATAAACACAAGCAATAAGACCAATACAGGGGATTCATATACAGCACACAGGCAGAGCATATGTCAAACTAGCTACTTTGATCTCCTACCTATTCTAGCCACATTAGGAAAGATTTACATAACACAGATGGACTATAATGGCAGGGAATTTCCCACTTACGCTATGTATTTCAAGGACACTTTCTGGGGCTGAGCACAAGCATAAATCCGCTCTTGTATGTGCAGGGCTGCCAGGCGCAGGGCTACACTGCACTTCATCTCAACAGCAAACCTCTCCTGAAGCACATCGCTGCAGCTCTAGAAGGACACAGCTGGGTTAACAAAGCAGGGGCAACAGATGCAGATGAGCCAACCACCTCCCAGTCACTGTAGGGGCAGGACATTGGCAGTACCCGTGTCTCCCCTGCTTTTACCTCTGGCATGGTACAGGGTATGTGTAGTGTGTCTGGTTTTGTGCATTGCAGCTGCATGGGAAGGCATGAAGTGGGGATTTGGGGATGCCTGCGACTGAACTCAGTGGCCCAGGAGGCCTCTTCCAACCCTGTGTTCCCCAGGAGTCAGAATAACCATGTCATCTCTTTTTAATGAGTACCTTCAGTTGCACCTTCCATGTGCCAAAGTACTGAGCTGTTTGGACATCAAAGGTAGCTGGGTGCGACGCCAGCCACATAACTCCCTTGTGGGCCATAGGCTACAGCAACAGGCCTGCCTTAACTCTGCCAGTCCAAGCAAATCTAGGCTGGGATGGACCTGTTGCCTCCTGCTTCTTAGACCTCGTTGGGCTCATTTATGAATGGTGCACGTGGTGAACAGGTCAAATCCGAATTTATGAACAGGCTTGATTAGGGTTAGTTACAGCTGAACCTACCTAAGCTAAAATAACACATTCAGCATCTTATAATAACACATTTAGCTCTTAGTGGGCATGTCTACACATGCCCCCAACTGCGCAGTAACCATCGTCACTGCATAGTCCAGGCAGTGCATAGGTCGTTTCTGACCCTACTGAGCAGTAGCAATGAGCTACTGTGCAGTAGCATCAGCATTATGGTTCATGCCTGCCAATGCTATCTTGCCGTAGCAATGTCACTCTAGCTCGTTGCTATGGCAATGTAGCGTGTCGTGTAGACACACCCAGTGTCCACTGCACTAAGCTGTTTTAAAATCACAGTTCTGCTTAAACGGGAGGCTAAAGCCCTTAGTTGGGGAAGTTTCCCCATCCTGTAGGAAGCATGTGACACTAAACTTTCACCTGCAGATAGAGGTACTCGAAGGCAACCGGATCCTCCTGCAGGAGGTCTAGTGGGTCCTTTGGGATAAAGCACACACGGAGGAGGCACCGGTAGTCATGGGATTCCTTCCTTTGGACCACCTGGAACAGACAGAATGGACGAGCATTGAACAGCAAGGCTCTAATCATCCCCAACTCAATAGCCTGAGCCTTGGCTAGTGTGTGCCATGAATCAGTGCAGGTTGTTTACATAAGTGAATGAAGCAGTGGCCTCTGCTACAGAGGCTACCTCTCTAGTGACATTGGGATGTTGCTGATGCTACATTTTCTGGGTATGTTTCTCTCATTCTGTTTGCTTCCCTTCCACACATCACATGGAGGCAGCTCCACTGCCGAACTTTGTTTAAAGCTCCACCTTTCTAATGCAATGATGCCCAGCTTTCGCTTAAGTTTACCAGGGTAAAACTTCAAATGACTTCAGGGTGCAGCAGACCTCTCTCTGCTAACTCCTTCTGAAGATCCCAGCCTGTATTATTTATGTGGTCCAACATAAATGTTCAACCAGGGGTCATAGGAAAATAAGGTCCTCCCCAAGGTCACCTAGTCCAGCTCAAGGCAGGATCATCCCTGACTTTCTCTCAGGAGGGCAGCCATGGCACTGGGGAGCTTTCAAAATGAACTGCACAACAAATAAGTTTCATAACCTTTATTGCCAGCACTGACCTGTTCGATGAGCTCATCTTCATGTAAAAGATAGAGCTTAGCAATGTTGTACTGTTCTTCCAAGGCCAGAGCAAAGTGTTCGATGCTCTGGATGGAGAGCTTCTCTTTTAAGGTGAGAATTATGTCCTGGCAAAGACAAATGCAGAAAACCACATTTCAGTACCTCCTACTGCAAAAGCTGAGATGCTAGGCTGAGGGAAGAAGATGCAGGTTCTCTAATGGGAAGGGTGAGATCTGGCACCTCTCCCCAGGAACTTGTGGCAGAGCAGTGAGTTTTCTTTTGCCCCAGTCTGCTCCAGACTAGGTGGGGGTGATGGGCTTCTCAGATCTGGATGCTGCCTGGATATCTCCTTTTACTGACTTTTGGATACCACTCTCAAGCCTGAGTCTTCATCAGATCCTAATCTTGGTCCTGACCAAGGATCTTTTATCTGTGCCCTAAGGGTCCTTTGTAGTTAATTCCGAAGAGCAGAGCCAGAGATGCAGAGTCAAACCCCTTCTGGCCAAAGGGTGGTCTGGAACAGGGGTGCTCAAACCCTGATCCATGGGCCAGACCTGGCCTGAAGGGCTCCACTAGAGTCCAGAAATTTGGCAGTGGCAGAGTGGCAGCATTAATTGCTCTTCCCCTGCTGCCAAATTTTGAAGCCCACCAGGTTGTGCCAATGTGTGGTTGGATCTGGGCATGTGGCTGAATCAGGCCACCTGTGGACCAATCCCACACACTCAGTCAGCCTACAGGGCCAAGAGGTTGGACACCCCTGGACTAGTACCTCCCTTGGGTTTTCTCCTTCCTTCCTGAGTGCCCACACCACTAGGCTAATGAGCTAAAACATGGGAGGCCCCCCTCCTCTGGCATCTAACACCTGCTTGTCACAGGTTTTTGCTTTATTTGGACAGACGCATATGTACAGAGCCATGTATCTGCCTGGCCAGAGTGCAGCCTATTGTGTGTGCTGGGTAACAGTGTGTATGTTTATGCATCCACACTGCACATGGAACAGACTTGATAAAAATGGTAGTTATGCATTCAAGCACACAGAGGCTGCAATCAGATATTACATTTATCCCAGGATAAATTATTTTATCCTGGGACAAAGTGCAACCATACAGACCTCTGTGTCCGTTGTCCTGGGATAAAGCCTAAAAATGTTTCCCAGACAAGAGGTAATAAAAGTTTATCCTGGGATATTACAAAGTACCTCTGAAAGTTATCACAGGATTTCATCATTAAATCAATGGCAGAAAAGCAGCAGTGCATTCAGCCTCTCACTAAATCCTGATTAGAAAGGTGATGTGTGTACATGCCAACCCTGGGATATTTCTGTTTCAGGACAAAGACACAACTTATTCAGGGACAAATGCAGCATCTATTCCTACCCAAAGTGAAATGGGATCCTGTCACAAGTGCTTTGGTTCTCTGTGGTATATTAAATCTATTTTATCTTTTGGGAGTTGCAGATTAAAAAGAAAATAGTAAACAATGCAACCCTCATACCTTCACAGTAGTGGTGCTCTCAAATTTGAAAGCCTTGGTCTGTCCATTTTCCAGGTACACCTTGAGTACATTAGGCATGCACAGAAGAGAATTCCCCTGCATAGCAAAAAAACAAGGCGAGTCAGTTCCCACGTGCTGGGCTGCAGTGAACCAGGCTGCTTTAGTGTTCCAGAACTTGCTGTGGTGACAATTTGGTAACACAAGAAATATAGGTATAAGCAAAGAACTTTCTCCATATGTGGCACCTTAGCTTTGTTTCATGGCTACATTCCTGGTATAAAAACAAAGGATACAAGAGGCATCAATAACAGATTATTTCTTCCTTCTAAAAGTCCATTGAGCCATATGGTCCCATTTCTATTTGGGCACCCAAGAGAAAAATGTCTCATTTATGGTAGTGACAGTGAACTGAAACTGTCTCATCTCATATTAGGTCATATGTTCGGCTGGGATAAATCAGTGTCTCCATTGATACAAATGAAGCCATGCCAGTTTTCCCCATTTGAAGAGCCAATCTAAGGACCCCTGGCTACTTGCATAAAGCATTGCAAACTCAGCCCACATTTCTGCTTGGACTCTCTCTCTCCCTACGTCTATATAGAATTTATAGACAAATTAAAAAACATACTTGATGATCGAAGCTACATTCAACTCATGAAACGATGATGTTCCACTCTTCACAATTGCTGTAGTTTACAGTTCTGTTGGCCCAGACAGGTTGATAATTTTATTCCCTGTTGGTAGGATCTTGTAGACTATTTAAAAATTAATTCTAAAAATAAAGGGCCAGATCCTCAAATGGTATAAATGTCTGTAGCTCTACTGATACTGGAAACAAAAATTCAATTTACCCCAGTTTACAATTTGATCCACAGCTTCCAAATATACCAAAATACACTTACTGATACTGACCTTTCAGTAACCTTTGATGACCTGTCTTCTGCATATAGTTTGGCCATATGGATATAAACAAAATTTATGCTGGCAAATGGAGGTTTGAAAGCATTTGGACTCATCAACAATTTATGCTCTAATTGGAGTTTCAAGTTGCAGCTGCATGAGGGAGCTTTTGGGCTTTTTCCAAATGGCGTTAGCTCAGTTAGCAATGTTCCATTAGGATGACAATAGCAGTACATTTCCTGAAGAAGCAGGCTGCACGATTGTTGGAATTGTACTAACCATTTCACATATTGTAATCTTCCATCCCCATTTTCATCTAAAAGGAGGGACAGTTTTTTTGATGGGAACATAAAGAAACAGTTGTCAGGGCTGAACATTGCTTTTCCAGAAAGCAGAAATGTACTGTGAGCTTACATCCTCCAACTATTACTGGTTTGCAAACAACCTCCTTGCTATGATTTTACTTTAGAGACTCAGTCCAGTTCTGATGTGCATCTAATGACTTAACTCTTTTGCTTACTACAGAATATGTAAGTATAGGCTAATTCCATTTTTCCTCAGAGCATGCAAGGAGACTACTGACTTAGTTGTGATTTAAATTACAACATTATTGGCTTAGGAATTTATTGACTATTGTACCATTTATCACCCTGAAGAGTCCAGAGGAAGTGTGGGCTATAACTTCACAACAAGGACTCCTGAAGAGGAAGTAGACTGCTGTCACCTTCAAAATTAACCTTGCACTAACAGGATGCTAGCAAGGTTTAACACCATGAAAGTAAGAGCTCAGAATGCTTGCAATTAATTTAGAAAGAGTTTAGGTTCCTCTATTTTGTTTCACATCTAAGCCCAATTCAGGACAGTATTTAAGCATACAGTTAATTGTAAGCACATGTATAAGTGTCTTGGTAGAAAATAGGACATAAACACATGCACAGGTGCTGAGCTGAAAAAAGATGCTTTCCAGAATCAAGATAAAAATCTGGTTAGAACCTCCTCAGTGGGTGCTGAAAGCTCAGGACTTCTAGGGACAGCTGGTTGGAAGGAAAAGGTTTCAGTGTGCAGGGAATCACAGTTAACTGGCAGGCTAATCAGTAGGGACAGTAGCATCCTTGTCCCATTTGGCTCGGTTGACCCTCTCCTGGGCAAAGGACAAACCAACAGAACAAGAACAAGCCTCCAAGAAGGACAGAGGAGACAGGGAAAGGACTAGTGATGCCTGGGGAGTTAGACTGCAGCTGGAGTTGGTCAGGCAAAATGACCAACCTGCTAGCAACATATGTCCTGCTGTGCTGTCTGGGAATCACCAGGTCAGCCAGAGCAGAGAAGGAATCAATTTTCCAGCAGCACTTTTATCTCTGAAGAACGGAGTGGTTACTACTGTTGTTCACTGTTTTGAGGATAGGGTTGGGAGGATGGGGACTGGACTTCATTCCTGGAATCTCAGATGGCATCCTCTCTACCTCTTAGGCCGTGCGTAGACAAAATTAGGCATATGTGTGCATGACACTTTAAAGCGGGCTAAATGCTTTTGCACCGCTCTAATGGTGTCGGTGTTTGCATGCATCAGTGGCATACTGCATGTTAATTACAGCCACTGTAGCAAATTTGGTGGTGTAATGCACCTTAAATGACTCGGGGCACAGTAAACTCTGAGGAATTTTAGTTTGCTGCCCCTACAGCTGCAGAGTGAAGTACCAGGCTCTGTGCAGCTCAGGGCCTCTGCAGGAAGCCCTGCAGGCAGCCTGGCAGCATCCTAGGAAGGCAGTCTGCACCCAAGAAAAGCGGCGAGCCTGATTTCCCCCCCCGGGGCCTGCCTGAGCTGCGCAGGGACCTGGTGCTTTGCTCCACGGCTGTGGTACCCCCTGGGACTCCTCAAGCTGGGTGCCTGCAAGCGGGTGCCGCCGAGGGGGCCACCACTGCTGTGGACGAAGCACCAACCCCCCCTTGCAGCCCAGGGACCACTCCACCTGCTGGTAGCTCACCCTCCCCTCCCTGCCACTGGAGAGGCAGGTATATGCTGGGTGTGTGCACGACACAGGGGTTTAAAGGGCCCTAAATTGAAGTGGTGTTTTTAAAAACCCACTTCTGCTCAAGAACAGGGGCCCACTTCAATTTAGGGCCCCTGTTTTGTCTACACACACCCTTGATTAGTTAGAGAAACTCTGTGGCTGTATCACTCTCCATATGAGAGAGAGATGGCATAACATATTTAACTTAAGAAAATTTGAAGGGAAGGAAAGCAGGGAGAACATCATGCCTGAGCAGTTACTGGCAATGACTGTTACAACACTGCACTGACCTGCGAATGTCCGTTCACCAGCACCTCCTCAGCAAAACGCACTTTGACGGGATTTGTTTTGAGCCTTGCCCGCTTCTCTTCTGTCAGGAACGATGATTTGGGCCCACCCTGAAAAACAGCGGCACTGTATTTGCAATTGATCTTACTGTGACTGAACATGAAAACCAGAGGCACGTGCAGTAGGTCTCCATGATCTAAAACGGTGGGTCACAGTCCTTTGCGGAACATGTAGCAATCTAACCAGTACCAGCCACACCATACAGTGAATACTAACTCCCATTTCACTGGTCTTGTGCTAAATTGTAATTGATTTGAGACTCCTTCCTAGCCCCACAGGATGAAACTAGACAACCAGGGCCTGCCACTGATTGGGACACTGAAAGTTTAACCATATGATAGTGGTATAGGGACATACTTAAAGCAGTGGCTAGCAACCACTGGCCTAGAATTCAAAGGTGTCACATGAACACAGAGATGTCTTGTTTACTTGTCGACATTGCCTAACAACCAACTGGTCAGTCAGAAGATTGCAGGTTAATGTAAATACCCCTACATTTGCATTCATTTCAGAAGAATCCTTCAAAGGTATATCTATCTACAGGACATGCTAAAATTATTCTGCAGCCACACCCCAGTATGAGCCATTCACTTCTAGGCTTTTGGGAAACCTAAAAAGTTAATGCAGTGTCAAGTGCCAGCTCTGACAAACAGGTATGTGTTCATGCCAAATCACCTTTCTCTTTTACAAGGTGACCGTACCTAAGAAGATGGGATGGGTGAAAAGGGGCACCCATCTGTCGCTGGCAACTTAATTGATTTGATATGGTGTAGAAACTCCTATGTGTGCTGCTCTGTTCCCATGAGACACTCAGTAAATATAAGCTCTTTTCAGAGCGGCCTTGTTTACTGGAGAAACGCCATTTATAGTGAAGGAAAAAATGTCTTTTCTCCAGCTGAACAATGTCATCCTCCAAACCGGTGGAACCTGTAGAGTATCCTACTGACAAGAATCACACACAAAAGCAGACACAGTGGAGGATGCCCCTTTTGAGGCCCACATATCTGAGATAATGCTTCTGTCATACTTTCAAGAAGAGAAAGGAGACCCAAGAGAAGAGTGGAATATCCATCAAGGAGGCAGTACCTCTCAGCTGAGAAGTGGGGCAAATGACAACCCCAAGCAACCAAGGCTGATTTGGGTGTTTGTTGGTATCCTTAAAGTGACCTGCAAAGGAAAAACAAAAAGGGGGTTGTGCCCTGTTTCCTCTTTATGATGCATGAAGACCAGCGAGGGGTTCTCTTTCCTCCTCTCTTTCAAAAGCAATCACTTTCAAATTCTTTCTTTGCTTATTTTTAAACATGAAGCATTCAAGTCTTGTCTACCCCACTTTTTTCTGGAGGACATCATGATCAGCTAGAGCACTGGTAGGATCCTCAGGTCCAGGAAACCATGGAAGGGAAACTGTTAACTGAAGAGGGAAATGGTCATCTGTTCTAAGTATTTAAGGCATTGGTAGCTCAGTTTAGTTTTAGTAACACCTGATTAACACAAACATCAAGAAATGCTAGGGAAAATATTTTTGTTGAAAAGATTTAACCCCTATCACATCTTCAAGAACGGTTAAAACCTGAGCCTGAGATCTCCAGAAAATCTTCCAGCACAACAAGGGGAGAGGAAACTTGACATTTTTTTTTTGCAAAAATAAATCTTAGAAATATAAGCAGAAACAACCTAACCATTTGAGGGGAAAAAAATTAAAATCTCTTTCCGGCCATCTTCACGCATCACAAGAATCCAAAAAAGCACAAGCCCATTTCTGTTCTTCCTTTGTAGCTCTGCTTGACAAACCCACATTAAAATTTGTTTGGATGAATACATCCTGGGAGGCATTACAGCCTTTTTAGGGAACTTCACGTGACATGAATCAGCTATCAGCCCACACATTTTAATACAAAACCTCACATTTTTTTGTCCAAATCTAGGTTACATACTTAGTGCTCAGCCTCAAGGAAGACATGGGGGCTTCCTGATTTAGGAGGAAATTAGAACTGCAGAGACTTACAGAACCACCCAGGATGAGAGGAAAGAAGATCAAACATTTAGTAGCTTCAAGCTGCAAGATCTGAGATGTGTCAGGTAACCAGGACTTTCAGGATTAACACTCTCTCCTTAAGGTGCAATAGATGATCATACAGGAGCCTGGAGAACAATGTTTAATCTTCCAGCTGATGCCAACAGCTTCAAAAGGCATGTGGACCCCACTAGAGGGTTAAGAGAGCATCCTGTGAGAGGGTGCTGACATGAAGGACTGCCCTCTTAATAGCCCCTCAGGACACATGCTGAGCAATCCCTAGAGAAGACTGCAGGGCCGTGCTTGGAAATACAGACTTCTGCACATCCAGAAGAAGCCAACACTTCCCAGAAGGAGCTGTGAAAATGTTTCTCCCTGACATTAAAACAGCATTAAAGCTTCTCTGAAGAGTGCCAGGTTCTTCGATTAATTTTCTCTGCACCCCAAGAGATGCTGAGATGCCATCACCCCTTGCAGGTTCAGGATGTTACCACATATGTACCAGGCCTGGCTGGCCCATCAACACCTCCAATACACCCCACTTCCCAGTTCCAAACTCCAGGACAGGTGCCTGGGCTTTGTCACTATAACACAGCCACTTCCCCTGAGCCAGCCTTATCCCAATGGTCCCCTGAACAGTGCCACATGGGGTCTTGCCTGTATGTGGAAAGAAGGGTGGGTTCAGCCAATCTCTGCAGCATCCTTTTCCAACCCAGGGGATCAGCAAGTGCCAATTAACAGTGCTTGGGGAAGCTCCCTTTCTGCCCTAGGGGCTCTGGGACAGTGCCTAGTAAGAAAGCCCATAGTGCTGCCCAAGGGCTAGGAGCTAGATGGTGACTGTGGAGGGCAGTGATGAGCAACAATATGAATGTATGCGTCTCCCTGACGATGGCCATTCTCTCTGGCAGGCGGCTTTACTGAGGTCAGTGATTTGTGGGAAGATGGTCCACATTACAGCTTTCTTAGGCAGTACAGTTGTAAGCAGCGTGTCTGCAGATATGACTCTCTGAGGGGCAACATCAGGCCCCCTGTGAGTAACATCTCCTTTATGGCTTTTGCTGTAACTGCCTGCCATTAATACCCAGCCTCACAAACTGAACGTGGCCCATCAGTCTAAGCCAGTTCCAGCTACTTCTCCCACCAGCGGACTCAGCAATGCTCCCTGCCTGTGGGGAGCAACTCTAAGGAAAGTATTGAAAAACACGATTTACCGAGGTGCATCGCAGAATGGTCAGCAGCAGCTCATCTCCGGATTCCCTGTAACAGACAAATATTATCAGCAGAGCTGGGAAGCAAGCAAAATGCTGCCTTCCACCCAAGAACCAACACTGCTGGCTTCTGCTGTGCACAAAGCCACTGACCCACGGGATTTTCTGTTGTACATACTCTTGGGAGGGAACAAAGGCTTGGCAGTGGTCACAGAGATGCCTGGGGCATGCCCTGTCCTTTAACCCAGGAGCATGACTTTAGCAGGGAGGTGCCTTTGCCTGTGAGAGGCAAAGTGACACTAGCTGGCTCTATGAGTGACTTTGACTCTCGGTGTTTTCCATCAGCAGTGTTACACACACTCAGTGTACTGTTGTCTCCTTTTTTACAAAGCCAACTGCTCTGCACCTCCAGATGGACTAAGCATGTTCAAACTTCACAACATCTTCATGACCAGTGCATATTTGTGCATGCACGGTACTTCATGCTGTGAGGTTTTGGTTGTGGTTCCTAAGCACTGGCATGTAACCAGAGGCATAGCAAGGCATCTCCATGCTCCGGGGAGCTGCAATACACAGGACAACACCAGTTTCCTAGATAGCTGTGTGGTCAGCTGCTGCTGAAGTAGCAGCTATTTGTGTCCCTACATTAAACTGGCAGGTGGTGTTACAGCTCCAGTTGCCCCCCCCGCCCCAATTACATGACTGCAAACATAGCATTCACAATCTGAGAGACAGAGTGTATCTCTAGTACAGCTGTGTTCAAACTCATGTGCCCACAGCACACACCTATCTCTGATGCACTATCCCTGGAAACAACATGGATGGCCTCCATACAATGTAAACCTTTATCTCCCACCCCACAGACAGGCCCATACCTTATAATATCAGCTGTTTTCTCAACTGAAATGCCCTCCACAGCTTCACTATTGATCTTGAGTATCTGATCGCCAGGCAGAATCTTCCCATCAGCTGTGCTTCCTATCAGAGATCAGTGTCAAGTGAGTACTCCAAGCAGCTCCTCTCTGGCTTGTGAACGAATGGACTTCTCTCTGTCTGCAGTACAGCACTGGGTATCCTGTAGTTTTGGACACCAAGAGCAAACTCTCTCCATTCCCCCACCAGCCCAGTCTGCATATGGAACTGGCTGCTCAAGGCTGAAGGAGGTAGCTGGCATGGGGAGAAGAAAGCTGCTAAGATATCCCTCTATCCCTTTTTTGGCTTCGGGGGGGGGGGGGGGG